GTCATTCTCATTAAAAGGGGTGTTCTGCGGATAACATGAAGTAGAGGGGCTGATTTGCCATAGTTTCTAGTACAGGGGCTGATCTGCCACAACATGGCTGGTAGAGGGGCTGAATTGCACCTTCTGCCCAATTACAACTGCATCTACAATACTTCACATCAATTTCCCAACGCACAATTTCTCTTTCTAGCATTTTGAATAACCGAGCTTGACTGTTGCTGCCGCCTTACTGGGTTGTTGATAAACTTGGACATGTCAGGAACGCCATTAAAGTTCTTCACAACTTGCAAGCTGGGCACACGATGGGTTAAGAAATCAAGAATTGATAAAAATTAATTAAATAGTTTTTTTTATGTAAATAATTAATAATTTTTTTAATTTTAGTTAAATAAAAAATAAATTTAATCAATTAATGGTTAAAGATAAACACTAAAATTAAATATAGAACTGAAAAATAAAATATTATATTAATAAATAAATAATAGTTATTGAAATATTATAAATAAATATAAAAACTATTTTATTCTATAAATTTTGTTATAATTTAATATTTAAATTTAAAATATATCTAAAAATAAAAAATAAAACATAAAATTTATATTTTATTTTTATTTATCTATCTTTTTATGTTTTATTATATTAATATTCTTTAACAAATTTAAATTTTAATGAATTATATTCATTGTTAGTTTGATGATCCAAACATCCCTTGAGCTATCACTATATTATAGAAGTCACGTTTTGATGGCCCGTATTTCACATTCGAGCATGTCCCCCAAAGCAACGTTACTGAAATTTATAATTGTTTCAAGGTAAGATTACGTTTTAGCAAATTTAATAAAATGAATGGATTTAGCAATTTCTATAAAAATAAATAATTTCATTACTAAACTAGAATTTACATTTCTCACACATCTAATGTTATTCATTTCTTATTTTACAGACACTTTACCAGTGGGATCCTGCAGATAATCGCCGTGTGAGAGATGCATTCATAAATTGTTTGAGACATAGATGGAGTGACAATATTAGGGATGAGAAGTTGAAATGGGAGAAGAACTCAACCTATGTCCCATGTTGGATGCCACCTCATTTATGGTCTCAGCTGCAAACATATTAGGACTCTGATGAATATAAGATGCTCAGTGCAAGGGGAGCAAAGAATAGGAGTTCTGGGCAGAGGGTGACTCACACCAATGGGTCCATTAGCTTTGCCATTCATGAGATACGGATGGTAATCAAGCTTAATTAATAAAAAATTTAATATATTAAATTTTATTTAATAATAAATTGTGTTAATTTATACTAACCAATATATTGCATTATCAATATTTTGAAATATAGACTGAATCTAGAGGTGGTGTGCAACCTCCCCATCTGGAGAAGTTCAAGGAGACACACACCTTCAGAAAAAAGGCGGGAAAGGATCAAGAGCCGGCATGGATCAATGAAAAAACAAAGCATCAATATGTAAGTATATATAACATATAAATTAGTATCAAATGTATAGTTATAAGTGTCAACAAAATTTATGTAATTAATCTAAATTATTTAGCAAAATCTATTTTTTTTTATAGATTTTTTTCAAAACTGCTTTTGACAACATTATTACTATTACTATTATTTTTTCAGGATTCTTATGTTGTGGAGTGCATAGAGAGTCATGGCTTTGATGCTAGTTCATGGCCACGCATGGATAACGAGGCATGGGTTAAGGCTGTTGGAGGTTGCTCATATAATTTCATGCCAGGGATTGACTCCCAAGTAAATCCAGAGATGGTTGGTTTTACTTATAGGAAGAGACAACCTCGAGAAAACTTAATAGCAGCAATGATGGTGTCTGACTATGAGAAGGCATAGGCAAAACAAAATGGGGAGTTAGAAAGACAAAGCCAACAAATTGCTTTGATGCAATAGCAGCTGGCCAATATGACACAAGCTCAAAATAATATGAGCCAGACAATTGCACAGTCTGTTTTAGCAGCTCTAGCCGCTCATGGCATCTCCCCTCAAGCAGGTCATCATCCAGTTGCCCCAGCACAGCCGTCACATGGTCATGGCTCAGGTCTTCGCATGAATTCAGCTTTCACCTACTCCACTGATTCTACACAAACCTCTCCTATGGTCCTTGAATATCAGCAGCAATAGCAGCTTTCGCCTCAAGAGGATGCATACCATCTTGTTTTTTATCCAAACTATCAAGGTCCTTAGTTTTTTTTTTTTTCTCTGCTACGCACATTATCTGCACACTTTGCATGGTTGGCTTTATTTCTGTTAGTACTTTAAACTACTTGCTTTAGCTTTTCATTACGATATCTTTTCTTATTTTGCTTGACCTCCAGTGATCATACTTCAAAAGGTATATATGAAGTTTTGGACTGCTTTGGAGGTTAATTATTATTAATTGAATATCATAGGTATTTAAGACAATGGTGTGTGATTGCCATACTTTGTGGTTGTGGTTGTGGTTATAGTTATGGTTGAAAAGGTATAATTGTTTTTAGCTAGCTAGAGTTGTAGAATGTATGTGTTTTTCATTGCAAATGCAGGTAAAAAAAATTGGTTTTGATCATATGTATGGGGAAACTCTGTCAAATTTTTTTTAGAATTTATGCCAACTAAAATGACCAAATTGCAAAAAATCTATTGAATAAATTTTAAATTATTGCATTTTTTATAACAAAGTTGTAGAATTGCAAATACAAATTTTTAAAAAATACCTTTTATCATATATACAGGGGAATTTTATCAAAATTTTTTAAAATTTATATCCACTAAAATGTAAGAAATTTGTTGGATAAAATTAGAAAATGACATGAAAATGGACGAAATCTGGGAAGGAACTTAGGGAAAATGGAGGAAATCCGGGGAGAATTTTTATTGCCATTCTACCAACGTGATTGTAGTCGGTAACTATATTTCCAACTTTCATCTTGTCGGTAAATTTATAAATACCAACGTGAATTTGGTTGGTAATTTGGGCGGGAATTCCAAATTTTTTCCGTCTTCGATTTCCGTGATCCGTAAGTTACCCATGTGATATTTGTCGGTAAATTGAAAATACCAACGTGAAGTTGGTCGGTAATTTGGGTGGGAATTCCAAATTTTTTTCGGCTTGGATTTCTACGTTCCGTAAGTTACCCATGTGATATTTGTCAGTAAATTCTATACCGACGTGAAGTTGGTCGGTAATTTGGGCGGGATTCCAAATTTTTTCCGTTTTGGATTCCCGCGCTCCGTAGACTACCCATGTGATATTTGTTGGTAAATTGCCTTATATATACTCTAAACCCACCACTCTACTGGGCTTGTTTCTTTTTATCTTCCTTCTTATTCTTCTTCTTCTTCTTTTTTCTTCTCCTTCGGCTTGCCTCCACTTTTTCTTCCATTAAATGCTGCTGGATTAATTGTTTATGTTTATAATTACATTATTCATATAATTTTAGGTTTATATCTTTTCAATCTCCTCTTTTTTTTTCTCTTTCATTGTTTCTCCCTATTTGATTAAATACTAATTTGTGTTATTAATCAATTTATTTGCAATTTTAATTTTGTTTTCCAGGAAACATTAGGAGGTAATTATTGGGGTAAGTAAATTTTCTTTGTGCAAATTAACATTTTTTGTTATTTATATGTTGATTAGAGCTATTAGGGTTGAAATTAATTATAGATAAATGCTAGCCTAATTTATGTTTTTTTGTTTTCTTAGGGAATGGTGTTATGCAAATCTTCATCTATTGAGGTAATCTTTAATTAATTTTTTAGGTTATCTAGTTTATTAACTTTGTCATATTATTCTTCTTTTTTAAGTAATGTTTTAATCTCTAATTTAAATAAATAAATACAACAATTTTCTGTTTACATTGTAAAATTTTTGTATTATATTTATTTTTTATGATATTAAATATCATGAATTACTTAATGTTTAATTGTAAATTAATTTAATTAAACAAAAAATATATATATTAATCTCAATAAGAGTTAAAGATATATATTTTTTAATTTTTGCAGATTTATTTACGAACATTATTCTCGTCAGTAAGTGGGAGAAAAGAAATTTGGCGCCTAAATTTCGGACATGGGGGAAGAACATCGTGTACTTGCAGACGTGCACTTCGTTTGTAAAGTACTAACATGGCTCAACTTGCGAGGCAGTGTCTGACAACATTCTCCTCGGTAAAAACTAACATAGATCAGAGTTTGAGGTACCTTCCACACGTACAGACGCTATTCTTGTCGGTAAATTACAAACATGGAACTAGAGAAGATTTTCGGTGTTACTGTTCCAGTCTATGTCTTGAGAGAAATTGCTTGTCGGTAATTAGGTGGTAGTTTACCGACATGATTTTTATCTATGTCGTTGAATGAATTACCGAGTCCGGTTTCACTAACGAAGCCTTTACCGACGTGATCCAAGTTGGAGTGTGGTTTCACTGACCCGATTTCCTTTCTTACCAACATGATTTCTCGTCGGTGATATTGTTAATTCTTGTAGTGGAAGTTAAAGTGGGAACCAAAATGTTTTTCCACAGAAAAAATGTAAACATTTGCTAGTGACTTATTTTTTTTTTTAACAAGGGAAATTTTAAAGAGAGAAAAAAAATATTATAATTATTTTTATAAAGATTTAAATTTTGACATGAATTAAGATTTTTAGTGTATATTACCAGTCCACCTAAAGCTACTGGTGCTTGGCAGTGGATTAAAACAAGTTTAAAAGGTTTGAAGTTTGAATTTTTTGCTCTAAAATGGTCTAAAATAGTATGATGGATGTATACATATGAAATCCTAAACTTTATTTAAGAATGTTTCTCACAAAATTTTTTTTATACAATATCTTAATTTAAAATATAAAATTATTATTTTTATTTAATTTTATTTAATATTATATATATTTTTTATCAATTTTAATTAATAATTTATATATATTTAAAATAATAAAAGAAAAAACCAATGTTATAGTACAATTCAACACAACACTCTCAAATAAATCCTTAGTTAAATTACAATAATAAGTTAAATTTGATAAACTTCCTTCATTAAGGGTAACTAAATCTAAATTGTTAGAAATTTTCTACTAAACTAATAAGTGAATGAAAATAATTATTGCTTTCATTATTTAAGGGATTTTTTATTTTCATTTTTTAAGAATTTGCATTTTTTTTAATTCTATACTAATGTAAAAAGAAAATTTGCATCAAAGTCTAACTACTTCTAGGAAGTTATCAATATCAACTTATTTTTATAATTTGATCAAAATATAAACACTAACACTAATCAAACAAGCAGTAAATTCTTTAAATTCCCTGTTCTGATCTTGGTTTTTTCGATTGCCCGGTTGCTGGGTGAAAATGGAAGCTCATAATTTAAATTTCATAAGGATTTTATTGTCATTTGACTGCCTTGAGCATCTATCTTAAATATATTTACCCTTTTTAGGTTTTCTTAGTAAATAAATGAAAGAGTTAATCATTCTTTAACAAAAAAAAAATAATTTTTAACTCATAATTATAAAATAGAGTACTCAAAAAGTAATTTATGTAAATTTTTAATT